ACTGTGTGGAGGTTCCTCAAAGAGTTAAAAATAGTCCTGCCCTACGACCCAGCAATTGCACTGTTGGGGATTTACCCCAAAGATACAGATGCAATGAAACGCCGGGACACCTGCATCCCGATGTTTCTAGCAGCAATGTCCACAATAGCCAACTCTGGAAGGAGCCTCGGTGTCCATCAAAAGATGAATGGATAAAGAAGATGTGGTTTATGTATACAATGGAATATTACTCAGCCATTGGAAATGACAAATACCCACCATTTGCTTCAACGTGGTTGGAACTGGAGGGTATTATGCTGAGTGAAGTAAGTCAATCAGAGAAGGAGAAACATTGTATTTTCTCATTCATTTGGGAATATAAATAATAGTGAAAGGGAAGGGAGAAGAAATGTGTGGGAAATATCAGAAAGGGAGACAGAACTCCTAACTCTGGGAAACGAACTAGGGGTGGTGGAAGGGGAGGAGGGCGGGGGGTTGGGGTGAATGGGTGACGGGCACTGAGGGGAGCACTTGACGGGATGAGCACTGGGTGTTATTCTGTATGTTGGTAAATTGAACAGCAATAAAAAATAAAGTTATTATTTAAAAAATTCCACATATGAGTGAAATAATATATTTGTCTTTCTCTAACTGGCTTATGGGAAATCCTCCCACACTGTTGGTGGAAATGCAAATTTGTGCAGCCACTCTGAAAAAAAGTATGGAGGTTCCTCAAAAAGTTAAAAATAGAACTTCACTATGATTCAGCAGTTGCACTACTAGGTATTTACCCATAGAATACAAAAATACTAATTCAAAGGGGTACATGCACCCCAATGTTTATAGCAGCATTACCTACCATAGCCAAGATATGGAAACAGATCAAGTGTGTATTGACTGATGAATGGATAATGAAGAATTGTTATATATATATATATATATACACACACACACATATATAATGGGAGGTTACTCAGCAATAAAAAAGAATGAAATCTTGCCATTTGCAATGACATGGATGGAGCTATAGTATTATACTCCATGTCTTTTGATTGATGAAGCTAATCCATTTATTTTTAAAATAATTATTGGTAAGTGAAGATTCACTATTACCATTTCGATATTTGTTTTCTATGTCATTCAGTTGTTTTGACCCTGTCTTCTCTTGTTGTCTTTACTGTTAATGATTATTTTTTGTATTTATTTGGTTTAGGTTTCTTCTCTTTATCTTTTGTGTATCTATTATAGTTGTTTTGGTGGGGGTAGCTCAAGGCTTGTATAAAGTATCTTGTATTATAACCTTCTATTTTAAGTTTTAACAATTTAACTTCAATAGCATACAAAAACATTACACTGTTACTCCCCTCAACATATATACATTGTGTTCTTGTATGCAGAGTCTGCTTATTTTTATATTGTATATCCATTGACAATGTTTTACCTACTAACTTTTATTTTAGGATTATAAGTAATTTATCCACTACATAAATTAATGCATAAATAATCAATGTTATATTAATACTTATACACCTATGTATTTACATTTGCTTGTGAGATTTATGCTTTCTTATGCTTTCATATTGTTCAGTGTGTTCTTATTTCAATTTGGAGCACTCCTCTAAACATTGATTGTAAGGCAGGTCTAGTGGTGACAAATTCCCTCAGTTTTTATTTGTTTGGGTAAGACTTTATTTCTTTTTTCTTAAAGATTTATTTATTTATTTGAGAGAGAAAAAAATAGAGAGAGAGCATGGGGGAGAGTCAGAGGGAGAGAGAGACAGAATCCCAAGCAGACTCCATGCAGAGCACAGAGCCTGGCATGGGGTTCAGTCCCAGGACCCCGAGATCACAACCTGAGCTGAAACCAAGAGTTGGATGCTTAACTGACTGCACCACTCAGGCACCCCTCTCTTTCATTTTAAAGGACAATTTTGCCCCTCTCTCTCCTTGAACTCCCATAATGCATATATTTGTTTGCTTTTATCTATGCTTTTCCATTCTTTTTTCTTCTCTGATTGATTTCAAATGACCTATTTATAGATTTTTTTTTCTTCTGCTTGATCAAGTTCACTGTTAAAGCTCCCTGCTGCATTTTTCTTTTTTTTTTCTTTTTTTTTTTTTAAACACTCATTTTTTTTAAATTTTTTATTTATTTATGATAGTCACAGAGAGAGAAAGAGAGAGGCAGAGACACAGGCAGAGGGAGAAGCAGGCTCCATGCACCGGGAGCCCGATGTGGGATTTGATCCCGGGTCTCCAGGATCGCGCCCTGGGCCAAAGGCAGGCACCAAACCGCTGCGCCACCCAGGGATCCCCTCCCTGCTGCATTTTTCATTTCATTTATACTATTCTTCAGCACCAGAATTTGTTTGGCTCTTTTTTTAATGATTTCTTTTTGTTGAGCTTCTAATTTTGTTCCTGTGTTGTTTTCCTTGTTTTATTGAATGGTCCATCTATGCTCTCTTGTAGCTCACTTAACTTCTTTTAAACAATTATTTTGAATTATCTTTCAGGAAATTCATAGATATATATTTCTTTGATGCCAATTACTGGAAAACTATTGTTAATTATTTGATGGTGTTCCTTTTTTCTTGATATTTCATGTTTTTGGTACCCTTATGTTGATGTCTGCACATTTGATGGAGCAGTCACATACTCATTTTTGGGGATAAAGACGTTTACTTACAGGTGGGTCTGAGGGTGCCAATTTGTGTTGGACATGGCAGTTCTGACTCTAAGGTGTGGAGCAGTAGTTCCTGCTTCAGGGAGGGCAGAGCAGCAAAGTCTTTTGGAGCTCCATCAGCTGAGGCCAATGTTGGCAAAGACTGCAGGGGACCTCATGGGCCAAAGCTGTGGGCTTCCATACTGGTGGTAAGAACTATTGGTGGTGAGGGCTGCTTGGTCCTCCTGTTTTCCTTTTCCTCCACAAGGGAAGTCATTGCCAAGAGGATTCCTCTTATTGCTAGGTCCAGTGTGTGGGCACAAATGTGGTTGTAGTAGTACCAGGATCAGGGGCACAAACACATTCACAGTGGCAATGGTGTTGATGTCTTGGGTGTGAGCATCTGTAGAGTGGCCTTGGCACTGGGGTTAGAATTCAGTGTCATCCAGAAAAATTTTGGTATCTGGGACTGGAGCACAGGTACATTTATCACAGTGCCCTAGTGTCTGAGGCATGAGTGTGTGCTAAGGAGCCATGGAGCTGGGGTCCAGGGTGTGTACATGGTTATAGGAATGGAGGTCATGATTCTGGTTGGATTATTGGAAGCATTTAAAGCAAACTATTTAAGCAACTGCTTCTGAGAATGTTATATAGAGAATTAATTTTTCATACTAACATCAGCAAGATGATAGACTAGGAGGTCCCAATGCTCATCCCCTTTCCACAAAAACATTAAAAACAACAAATAGACAGCTACATGCCAACTAGAATAGCTATGAGAGAGCTCCAGAATATAATAAAGAAGCTGCAGAAACTCTATGAAGCACAGAAACAGAATGGCCATGTAGAAAAGCATAGTAAGCAGTTTACTTGCACTGCCCCATCCTCCAGTCTGGCAGAGCTTGGGGCCAGAAAGAATCCCCTCAGCCTGACCTCCCTCCATAAGGGAAAAGAGAAGGAAGATTCCAACAGTTCTCATCAGTTCTCTGAACACATGCGGATGCTCTACAGACTTCAATGATGCTAAATCAAATCAACCACAGCTGTCTGGAGCCCATGCTGCTGTGGACCTTACCCCCCACAAAGAGCTACTGTAGCAACCTCCCTGAAAAAGGTGCTACCACTGTGCCTCAGTGGGAAAGTGCCACTGCATGCACCCCACCAAAGCTGTCATCACTGCCTCCCACTCCCCCCAACAAGAATCATGACCTCCAGTCCTATAACCATGTATACATCCTGGCAACAAGGTGCCTCTGAATGGACTCTTTTGCAAGAAGTTTAGTTCCCCATTTTAGGAAACATTCAAATAAAGGCTACATGACTTTAAAAAGTATCCCTTTGATAAACTCTCATTCTTTTCCAATCCATCTTTATTTTTTTTAGCATTTAAAATTTTAATTATTTTGCAGATACAAGTAGCCTAATAAATTCACAAACATCAGTGAAAACATATTTTATGTGACTTTAATGTATCACATATTTAATAGCTATCATTTTAGTGGCATCTTTAAACTGAACTTTGATATGTTGTAGTTCTTCACCACTCTTTATCCTAGCATTGATAATTCTCCACAATCAGGCTCAGGCAACCTCTCCAAATACTTCTTAAACTAACTTTTCCAAACTTTTCTGGTCAAATGGAGTTTCCCTTTTACTCTATTACAAAAAGTTTCTGTTTTTCAATTACTCAGCTTTTGCTTATACCAATCCCCCTGTTTAGGACTTCCCCCTTCCCCTAATCCCTTGTTGCTAGTAAAATCCTATTCATCTTTCAAGGTAAATCTCAAATCTATCCTCTATTAACTCTTCCCAGAGAACTCCGGCCCATACTTTTCTCTCCTGAACTCTTATACCACTTTGCTGTCTGTTTCATTCATGTGGCAATCAATTATGCACTGTCTTGTAACTCTCTGAGTCCAAATCCTGCCTTTGCCACTGAGTAGTTATTTCATCTTTTGCTGTTTCTTTCTCCTTTGTGAGCCTCAGTTTCATTAGCTGTTACTATAGTCACTCAGCAAACCCAGGGCAAAACTGCTGGTTGCAGCTTTGCTAACACAAGAACATCTAAGTTAGCCAATCACATACATTTTGAGTGCCTCATCCACTGGGCATACAGTGACATCTACATATCAACTGGATGTGTACAAATGTATCTAAGCCACATACTTACCAACATCAAGTCTAAGTGAATTACCCCTATTTATAAATAGTTCTAAACAGGTTTTCTAATGATAGCCATCTATAATTCCTGACCAGATGGTCTCTAATTCCATCTTATTATTTCCTTGTTTGAAAGGTGGCTTAACTAATGCAATCAATTGTTTACTTCTAGGAGTTGTGTGAATTCTATACTATTTACCTTATGAATTTCTCCCTGTTGGACAGTCTTTATGACATTAATCCATTCTTCCATATCTTTCCGGTTGGGTGCAGCCAGGGTAACTTTTCGTTGTGGTGTGATCACCTGAACAAAAAGTCACATTATTAGCTGGTTCACATTCCACAACTTTGCCCCCAAAGAGAGCCTCTCCAAGGACTAGACAGGTCTACCAAGCCACTTCTTAAATCTAAGACAGAAATTCTCAGATACCTACCCAAAATAATAATAATGATAATAGTAATAAATAACACTTTGATGGGACTTACTATGTGCCAGGTACTACTCTATTACACTTTATGTATATTATTTATTTCAATCTTCATTACAAACCCATAAGATGGGTATTATTGTTTTTCTCATTTCACAGTCAGGAAACCCAAGGCAAAGGGGGTTTAATGACCCAGGGCCACCTAGCAGGCAGAAAGCTGGGCCAGAATTAAAATCTAGATTCTTTGGCTCCAGAATACATGTTCACAAGCACTAAGCCATGCACCATCTATCACTTTAGTGAGGTTGCCTGAAAATCCTACTCACTTACTGCTGCTTTGTCTACTTAAAAATTGTAAAAGGGTTTATGCTTCAACAGGGTCTGCCTCTTTCTGTTTGAGGGTAGAGTGAAAATAGTGAAGAATCTAAACCAGCTTCTTTCTTGCTTATGGTCAAGGACAACCTGAAGAGAATTTTACCATTGTGTCTCTTAATCCTGGTTGGTGTATGAACCCTGACAGGAATAATGAGAAAGCCATGATGAGGGTCTAGCAGAGGCAGACCATGGTCAGAACTTGGTCTTTTCCCAGAAGGCAGGAGGGACACAGATGGCTATAGCATCAGTGATTGCTTCAGTGGCCCTATTTGCCTTTACTACCAGCCCCCTAAATCTTGGGACTAGAGATCACTACACCAACAAGCAATTTCTCCATTTGCATGTAGCATAGTAGATTCTGTGATAGATGGGAATAGAATCTAGTAGGAATTATGATGAGAACCATTCCTTTGGTCCAAACCCATTCATTGTGGAGTTGTGTTTTAATTAGGCTAAGAAGCATCCTAGTATTTGAGATTTCTTTGTAGAATAAAGACAAAAAAATCAGTCTATATGCTCATCACCCAAAGGTTGAGATTTGTGGGAATGTATCAACAGAACTCTCAACTTTACCCTAGGTCAGTGTGATGTAATGAGAGAGAAATTATAGTAGGGTCTCCCTCTAATATCCTACTGATTTCCTTTCAAAAGAGAATGGAATATGGACCAGTCACAGAAGCAGGGTGTTGGGCTAGCTAGCCCTTTAGTCTGCTAGGTATTACCCTCCTGAAGAGGAACACCAGTCTCAATAACCCACCATCGAAGCTGGGAGAAGACAGTTCTAGGAGGAGGTAGGTAGGACAATTCCTGAGCCAATGGACTTGCTATTTTTTGTGAACTTTCTGGTCTGGATTCACTTGAATAAGAAAATACTTATGATATTTCAGCAATGCCAAGCCCTTGAATGCATCACTAGAAAATACTCTGCTTTCTTTGAGGTGCTTTCATCAGTAATCTCCGCATAAGGTAGCTTTCACTTTGGATATAGGCTCTTAAATACCTGCTCAAAGGAGAGAGTATCATGTAGCTTTGATTATCCTGATATGTTCTACAATATATTAGCAGACTCTTGAAAACCTTCCAATGATACTCTTCTGAATCACCTTCACCAGGAAGATTGATTTTTTGTAATGCTCACTCTCCCCGCCACCCAAAAATCACCTCAGCTTTATATCAGGGTCATAATAGAGAATAGGGAACATCACATTTTTCCCTCTATCAATGGGCTGGTGGAAAATGTTTACATGAACAATCTTCAGCACTCATTTGCAACGCTACTTTAAATGGATTTCCATACATTTTGGGATCAAAGGAGACATGGGAAACCTGACCTCCAAAGAGGCAACACATGGGTATGGCAACCCCTCTACCCAGCTAGCTCACACCCTTAACCCATTCAGTCATTTCCAATATTACTTACACAAAAACTATGGCGAAGATTTCTACAGCTGCTTTCTGCCAAGGCGACTTGAGACAGATCAATTGTTTCAAAGCGTGCAAACTGGAAAAAGATAAGACGGAGAAGGACGAGAACCATCTGATTAATAATGTCAAGAGACACTAAAAGGTTAAACACACACACACACACACAGGCATTTTTGGCAGTCATGAGCCAATCATTTGTTTGACTTGAGTGCTAGAATTTATTTAGCCTCATCATTTTTGTTCATATATTACGTGACAAACAAAAATCAAATCAAACTAAAGCAAAACACAACTCTTCTTAAAACTCTTATGTGAATTTACAGGAAGTTTTAGGTGGTTCAGAAATATTCAAACCTAAGGGTTTATCTGGAGAAGATAATGGAATATGGTCTAGCTAAGGACCTACTTGAATAGATAAGAGTTATTAGCTCCTCTTTTATCAGCTGGCAGCCTTTAACTTTGTTGCCAGTACTGTCCAGTTTGAGGCCTGTATCTCTTTATATGTTGCCTATAATAAGGAACATCCAGCCAGCAATAAGAAAAGCATTCATACAAAACACCATGTTCAGGGGAGGGGCAAGATGGCAGAAGGGTAGGGTACCCAAGTCCACTGTCCCCACCAAATTACCTAGATAACTTCCAAATCATCGTGAAAACCTATGAATTCAGCCTGAGATTTAAAGAGAGAACAGCTGGAATGCTACAGTGAGAAGAGTTCGCGCTTCTATCAAGTACAACTTGTTTTTGGCCACTCTGCACTGAGCAAAATGACTAGAAGGAAAAACTCACCTCAAAAGAAAGAATCAGAAACAGTCCTCTCTCCCACAGAGTTACAAAATTTGGATTATAATTCAATGTCAGAAAGCCAATTCAGAAGCACAATTATAAAGCTACTGGTGGCTCTAGAAAAAAGAATAAAGGACTAAAGAGACTTCATGACTACAGAAATGAGATCTAATCAGGCAGAAGCTAAAAATCAATTTATTGAGATGCAATCCAAACTAAAGGTCCTAATGACGAGGGTTAACAAAGTAGAAGAATGAGTGAGAGACATGGAAGACAAGTTGATGACAAAGAGGGAAACTGAGGAAAAAAGAGAAAAACAATTAAAAGATCATGAGGATAGGCTAAGGGAAATAAATTACAGCCTGAGGAAGAAAAATCTACGTTTAATTGGGGTTCCCAAGGGTGCCGAAAGGGACAGAGATCAGGAATATGTATTTGAAAAAATCATAGCTGAAAACTTTCCTAATCTGGGAAGGGAAACAGGCATTCAGATCCAGGAAATAGAGAGATCCCCCCCTAAAATCAATAAAAACCGTTCAACACCTCGACATTTAATAGTGAAGCTTGCAAAGTCCAAAGACAAAGAGAAGATCCTTAAAGCAGCAAGAGACAAGAAATCTCTAACGTTTATGGGGAGAAATATTAGAATAACAGCAGACCTCTCCACAGAGACCTGGCAGGCCAGAAAGGGCTGGCAGGATATATTCAGGGTACTAAATGAGAAGAACATACAGCGAAGAATACTTTATCCAGCAATGCTCTCATTAGGAATAGAAGGAGAGATAAAGAACTTCCAAGACAGGCAGGAACTGAAAGAATATGTGACCTCCAAACCAGCTCTGCAAGAAATATTAAGGGGGACTCTGTAAAAGAAAGAGGAAGTCCAAGGAAACAATCCACAAAAACAGGGACTGAATAGGTATCATGATGACACTAAATTCATATCTTTCAATAGTAACTCTGAACATGAATGGGCTTAATGACCCCACCAAAAGGCGCAAGGTTTCAGACTGGATAAAAAGCAAGACACATCTACCTGCAGTCTACAAGAGACTCATTTTAGACATAAGGACACCTACAGCCTGAAAATAAAAGGTTGGAGAACCATGTACCATTCAAATGGTCCAAAAAGAAAGCAGGGGTAGCCATCCTTATATCAGATAAATTAAAGTTTATCCCAAAGACTCTAGTAAGAGATGAAGAGGGACACTATATCATACTTAAAGTATCTATCCAACAAGAGGAACTAACAATCATGAATATTTATGCCCCGAATGTGGGAGCTGCCAAGTATATCAATCAATTAATAACCAAAATAAAAAAAATAACCAAAGTAAAGACATACTTAGATAATAATACACTCATACTTGGTGACTTGAATGTAGCACTTTCTACAATCGACAGGTTTTTAAACACAACATCTCCAAAGAAACAAGAGCTTTAAATGATACACTGGACCCGATGGATTTCACAGGTATTTACAGAACTTTACATCCAAATGCAACGGAATACACATTCTTCTCAAGTGCACATGGAACTTTCTCCAGAATAGACCACATACTGGGTCGCAAATCAGGTCTTAACCTATACCAAAAGATTAGGATCATCCCCTGCATATTTTCAGACCATAATGTTTTGAAACTAGAACTAAATCACAAGAAGACGTTTGGAAGGATTTCAAACACATGGAGGTTAAGGACCATCCTGCGAAGAGATGAAAGGGTCAACCAGAAAATTAGAGAATTAAAAAGATTCATGGAAACTAATGAGAATGATGATACAAACGTTCAAAATCTTTGAGACAGAGCAAAAGCAGTCCTGAGGGGGAAATACAAACCAAAACAAGCATCCATCCAAAAACTGGAAAGAACTCAAATACAAAAGCTAACCTTGCACCTAAAAGAGCTGTAGAAAAAACAGCAAGTAGATCCTATGCCCAGCACAAGAAGAGAGTTAATAAAGATTCGAACAGAACTCAATGAAACAGAGACCACAAGAACTGTGGAACATATCAACAAAACCAAGAGCTAGTTCTTTGAAAGAATAATAAGATAGATAAACCATTAGCCAGCCTTATAAAAAAGAAGAGAGAAAAGAATCAAATTAATAAAATCATGAATGAGAAAGGAGAGAGAACCACCAACACCAAGTAATTCAAATGATTTTAAAAACATACTATGGGCAGCTATAAGCCAAAAAATTAGGCAACCTAGAGAAATGGACGCATTTCTGTAAAACCACAAACTACCAAAACTGGAACAGGAAGAAATAGAAAACCTGAACAGGCCGATAACCAAGGAGGAATTTGAAGCAGTCATCAAAAGCCTCCCAAGACACAAAAGTCCAGGGCCAGATGGCTTCCCAGGGGAGTTCTATCAAACATTTAAAGAAGAAACCATACCTATTTTACTAAAGCTGTTTGGAAAGATAGAAAGAGATGGAATACTTCCAAACTCGTTCTATGAGGCTAGGATCACCTTAATTCCAAAACCAGACAAAGACCCCACCAAAAAAGAGAATTATAGACCAATATCCCTAATGAACGTGGATGCAAAAATTCTCAAGAAGATACTAGCCAATAGGTTCCAACAGTACATTAAGAAGATTACCACCATAACCCAGTGGGATTTTCCCCAGGATGCAAGGCTGGTTCAACACTCATAAAGCAATCAATGTGATTGATCATATCAGCAAGAGAAAAACCAAGAATCATATGATCCTCTCAATAGATAAAGAGAAAGCATTTGACCAAGGACAGCATCCATTCCTGATCAAAACTCTTCAGAGTGTAGGCATAGAGGGAACATTCCTCAGCATCCTAAAAGCCATCTACGGAAAGCTCACAGCCAATATCATTCTCAATGGGGAAAGACTGGGAGCCTTTACCCTAATATCAGGACAAGACAGGGATTTCCACTCTCACCACTGCTATTCAACATAATACTAGAAGTCCTAGCCTCAGAAATCAGGCAAAAGGGATCCCTGGGTGGCGCATTGGTTTGGCGCCTGCCTTTGGCTCAGGGCGCGATCCTGGAGGCCCGGGATCGAATCCCACGTCGGGCTCCCAGTGCATGGAGCCTGCTTCTCCCTCTGCCTGTGTCTCTGCCTCTCTCTCTCTCTGTGACTATCGTAAATAAAAAAAAAATTAGAAATCAGGCAACAAAAGGCATTCAGATTGGCAAAGAAGAAGTCAAACTCTCCCTCTCTGCAGATGACATGATACTGTACATAGAAAACCCAAAAGATTCCACCCCAAGATTGCTAGAACTCATACAGCAATTCGGCAGTGTGACAGGATACAAAATCAATGCCCAGAAGTCAGTGGCATTTCTATACACTAACAATGAGACTGAGGAAAGAAATTAAGGAGTCAATCCCATTTACAATTGCACACAAAAGCATAAGATACCTAGGAATAAACCTAACCAAAGAGGTAAAGGATGTATACCCTAAAAACTACAGAACACTTCTGAAAGAAATTGAAGAAGACACAAAGAGATGGGAAAATATTCCATGCTCATGGATTGGAAGAATTAATATTGTGATAATGTCAATGCTACCCAGGGCAATTTACCCATTTAATGCAATTCCTATCAAAATACCAAGGACTTTCTTCAGAGAGTTGGAACAAATCATCTTAAGACTTGTGTGGAATCAGAAAAGACCCCGAATAGCCAGGGGAATATTGAAACAGAAAACCATACCTGGGGGCATCACAATGCCAGATTTCAGGTTGTACTACAAAGCTGTGGTCATCAAGACAGTGTGGTACTGGCACAAAAACAGACACATAGATCAATGGAACAGAATCCAGAAGTGGACCCTCAACTTTATGGTCAACTAATATTCAACAAAGCAGGAAAGACTATCCACTGGAAAAAAAGACAGTCTCTTCAATAAATGGTGCTGGGAAAATTGGACAGCCATGTGCAGAAGAATGAAGCTAGACCACTCTCTTTCACCATACACAAAGATGAACTCAAAGTGGATGAAAGATCTAAATGTGAGACAAGATTCCATCAAAATCCTAGAAGAGAACACAGGCAACACCCTTTTTGAACTCGGCCACGGTAACTTCTTGCAAGATACATCCACGAAGGCAAAAGAAACAAAGGCAAAAATGAACTATTGGGACTTCATCAAGATAAGAAGCTTTTGCAAAGCAAAGGATACAGTCAACCAAAATAAAAGACAACCTACAGAATGGGAGAATATATTTGCAAATGACGTATCAGATAAAGGGCTAGTTTCCAAGATCTATAAAGAACTTATTAAACTCAACAGCAAAGAAACAAACAATCCAATCATGAAATGGGCAAAAGACATGAATAGAAATCTCACAGAGGAAGACATAGACATGGCCAACAAGCACATGAGAAAATGCTCCGCATCACTTGCCATCAGGGAAATACAAATCAAAACCACAATGAGATACCACCTCACACCAGTGAGAATGGGGAAAATTAACAAGGCAGGAAACCACAAATGTTGGAGAGGATGCGGAGAAAAGGGAACCCTCTTGCACTGTTGGTGGGAATGTAAAATGGTGCAGCCACTCTGGAAAACTGTGTGGAGGTTCCTCAAAGAATTAAAAATAGACCTCCCCTATGACCCAGCAATTGCACTACTGGGGATTTACCCCAAAGATACAGATGCATTGAAACGCCAGGACACCTGCACCCCAATGTTTATAGCAGCAACGTCCAGAATAGCCAAACTGTGGAAGGAGCCTCGGTGTCCATCGAAAGATGAATGGATAAAGAAGATGTGGTTTATGTATTATACAATGGAATAATACTCAGCCATTAGAAACGATAAATACCCACTATTTGCTTCGACGTGGATGGAACTGGAGGGTATTATGCTGAGTGAAATAAGTCAATCGGAGAAGGACAAACATTATATGGGCTCATTCATTTGGGGAATATAAATAATAGTGAAAAGGAATAGAGGGGAGGGAGAAGAAATGGGTAGGAAATATCAGAAAGGGAGACAGAACATGGAAGACTCCTATCTCTGGGAAACGAACTAGGGGTGGTCGTAGGGGAGGAGGGCGGGAGGTGGGGCTGACTGGGTGACGGGCACTGAGGGGGGCACTTGACGGGATGAGCACTAGGTGTTATTCTGCATGTTGGCAAATCGAACACCAATAAAAAATAAATTTATTATTTAAAAAATCCTAGAGAAGAACACGAGCAACACTCTTTTTGAACTTGGCCACAGTAACTTCTTCTAAGATACATGTATGAAGGCAAGGGAAACAAAAGCGAAAATGAACTATTGAGACTTCATCAAGATAATAAGCTTTTGCACAGCAAAAGAAACAGTCAACAAAACTAAAAGACAACCTACAGAATGGGAGAAAATATTTGCAAATAATGTATCAGATAAAGGACTAGTATCCCAGATCTATAAAGAACTTATTAAAGTCAACAGCAAAGAAACGAACAATCCAATTATGAAATGGGCAAAAGACATGAACAGAAATCTCACAGAGGAAGACATAGACATGGCCCACAAGCACATAAGAAAATGCTCCACATCCCTTGCCATCAGGGAAATACAAATCAAAACCACAATGAGATACCACCTCACACCAGTGAGAATGGGGAAAATTAACAAGGCAGGAAACAACAAATGTTAGTCGATGTGGAGAAACGGGAACCCTCTTGCACTGTTGGTGGGAATGTGAACGGGTGCAGCCACTCTGGAAAACTGTGTGGAGGTTCCTCAAAGAGTTAAAAATAGATCTGCCCTACGACCCAGCATTTGCACTGCTGGGGATTTACCCCAAAGATACAGATGCATTGAAACGCCGGGACACCTGCACCCCAATGGTTATAGCAGCCATGTCCACAATAGCCAAACTGTGGAAGGAGCCTCGGTGTTCATCGAAAGATGAATGGATAAAGAAGATGTGGTATATGTATACAATGGAATATTACTCAGCCATTAGAAACAACAAATACCCATCATTTGCTTCGACATGGATGGAACTGGAGGGTATTATGCTGAGTGAAATAAGTCAATGGGAGAAGGACAAACATTATATGGGCTCATTCATTTGCGGAATGTAAAAAATAGTGAAAGGGAATAACGGGGAAAGGAGAAAAAATGAGTTGGAAATATCAGAAATGGGACAGAACATGAGAGGTTCGAACTCTCGGAAATGAACCTTGGAGAGGTTCCGAGGCTAACTCTCGGAAATGAACAAGGGGTGGTGGAAAGGGAGGTGGGCGGGGGGTGCGGGTGACCTGGTGACAGGTACTGAGGGGGGCTCTTGATGGGATGAGTACTGGGTGTTATGCTATATGTTGGCAAATTGAACTCCAATTAAAAAAATGTGTAAGAAAATTTTTTAGAAAATTAAAAAAAAAAAACATGTTCAGAAATGCCCTGTACTTGGTTTAATGTTCTGTGGTTGCAATCTTGACATTTTAAATAATTTTATCTTTGAACATGTTTTGAGGTGGTCTAGTGGGATAATAGTTCATGAACATGAGCAGAGGTGATATGTACAAACTGCATGTCCACCTTATGTTTTGTCACTTCACTTGTATTCATGATGCCCATGAGCATAGAATTTCAGTGGACCCATGATATGTGGGGGTTTAACGAGACTCAAAGCAAGTACAAGATAAGATTGTTACACCTCTGATTGAATAAGTAAGGGAGTTGATAGCCCTGAGAGGCCACACTTTCTATAGGAACTAGAACTTGCTTCAAATATAGAAAAAGGCAATGGTGTTCTAAGAAACATGATCAACCAAGGTACCCTATTATTTTCTTTCTTACTTATGTTACTTCCCTATATTAACCAATAATTTATGGTGAAAATGATAACATTGAAGGAAAGGGTACGATAGGGCAGCCAATAGTTCCTTTTCCTTTCAGTCAGGGTGTTGATAGAATGTGTAAGTATCAAGATGTGAAATAAAAACAGTTGAGTTGGTGGTATGCTGGTGAAAACAAAATATATGCGTGTGCATGAGATACTAAATACAAATTATATAATTTGGTGGTTTTTCATGTGAGTTAAATGCTTTCATATTTGCTTTTAAAACTGGCATTGTAGGGTTCCTGGGTGACTCAGTGGTTGAGCATCTGCCTTTGGCTCAGGTAATGATCCCGGGGTTCTCGGATCAAGTCCCACATCAGGCTCCCTGCAGGGAGCCTGCTTCTCCCTCTGCCTATGTCTCTGTCTCTCTCTGTGTCTCTCATGAATAAATAAATAAAATCTTTTTAAAAACTGGCATTGTACAATATACAGAAGAATGGCAAAACTGCTAATAATTTAAAATTTTATTTTTCTTAGAATGACATTAAACAACAAATAAAAGATGCCATGACAAAATCATTGTATTATATTTTAGTATCTTTAATGACATATTTCCCTTGCTTTTAAAATAAGGGGCCCTGCATTTTCATTTTGTACTGGGCATCACAAATTGTGTAGTTGATTCTGATATAGAAGCAAATTGAGGAATCTATAAAAGAGAGGAGAAAGAAGAAGGGGAAGGAAGAGATAAATGTCCCCCATTTGGCCCAAAAGGACAAGTTTAAAGGAAAAATAGAAGATCTCTACTTCTACCTTGATGTTTTCTAACATTTCTTTACCTAATTGGCCTATTTCCTCACACAAACATTTCCTGGCATTCCCACCCACTAAACCAAATGACAAGATTATATAGATATTCTATAGAATAAATATTCCATATATTCTATATATGTTTTTACCGCAGGATGGTGTGCAAAACAGAGCCTTTGTCCTCGAACCAGAAAATACCTAAGCTTCCATCTCTTGAAGGAATTACAGTTCTTCAGTAGAGGTCCTTCCTTCAGTATTTTCTGAAAGATAGAAGCATAAGGTTGAGTAATTAGATGAATCGCCAGACCATACTACTTTTTCTCTCAGTTAAGAATATCAGATATCTGGAAGACTTCATCTCTATCATATACCTGAGAAATGGCTTGAGGGCCAGACAAAAATACAAGGAAGTTAGTTCAGTCAGAAAACAAATTGGTCACCCTTGGAAAACACATTCAAGATAATATAGGACCAAGAATCATGGAAAACACTTCTACTGCTGGTAGGGAATGGGGAGGAGGGACATGAACACAAAGATATAAGAATAACATTCCTAGAAGAGAATAATTCATAGGGGAAAAGACTATGTTAAGCAATGGCAGATTTTCGGGAAGGCTCCAGGTTGTAGCTATAGACCATTGCTATAGTTTTAGAGTGTTCCTTTTAGAATATTAAGTTGGATTACATCCCATTTCTGCTCACAAGACTCCAATAGCTTCCTAACATTTTTAGAACCAAAATCCAAAGTATTTACCATGACCCTCAAGAAATTCATGATCTGAAGAGAAAGAAAAAAAGGTACCAAAAAGGAACGACCTTCTAATTATTTTCTTTATGTATCTCATAGTCTGGTAACTGGACAAAGAGACAGACTTAGTTTAAGTCACCAAATCAGAGCTCTACCATGAATTCCATCCATGATCTAAATAAGAATTCACCCCTGAGTGGTTGTGGAAGTGTTTTCGTTTCTTCTTCTTCTTTTTTTGCTCACGTAGTGTTGTTCAGTTTTTAATTCATTGATAATATTTAACAGACAATTTCTTTTTTTTCTGGTTTTATTTTTTATTTATTTTTTATTGGAGTTCAATTTGCATTGAAATATATATTTATTTACATACATATTTACATACAGCATAACATCCAGTGCTCATCCTGCCATGTGCCCACCTCAGTGCCCATCACCCAGTCACCCCAACCTCCTGCCCACCTCACCTACCACTATCCCTAGTTCATTTCCGAGAGTTAGGTGTCTCTCATGTTTTGTCACCCTGACTGATATTTTCACTCATTTACGCTCCTTCCCTTTATTCCCTTTCACTATTATTTATATTCCCCAAATGAATGAGACCATATAATGTTTATCCTATTCTGATTGACTTATTTCACTCAGCATAATACCCTCCAGGTCCATCCACGTCGAAGCAAATGGTGGGTATTTGTTGTTTCTAATGGCTGAGTAATATTCCATTGTATACATAAACCACATCTTCTTTATCCATTCATCTACCAATGGACACCGAGGCTCCTTCCACAGTTTGGCTATTGTGGACATTGCTGCTATAAACATCGGGGTGCAGGTGTCCCGGCGTTTCACTGCATGTGTATCTTTGGGGTAAATCCCCAGCAGTGCAATTGCTAGGTCATAGGGCAGATCTATTTTTAACTCTTTGAGGAACCTCCACATAGTTTTCCAGAGTGCCTGTACCAGTTCACATTCCCACCAACAGTGCAAGAGGGTTCCCGTTTCTCCACATCGGCTAACATTTGTTGTTTCCTGTCTTGTTAATTTTCCCCATTCTCACTGGTGTGAGGTGGTATCTCATTGTGGTTTTGATTTGTAATTCCCTGATGGCAAGTGATGCGGAGCATTTTCTCATGTGCATGTTGGCCATGTCTATGTCTTCCTCTGTGAGATTTCTGTTCATGTCTTTTGCCCATTTCATGATTGGATTGTTTGTTTCTTTGCTGTTGAGTTTAATAAGTTCTTTATAGATCTTGGAAACTAGCCCTTTATCTGATAGGTCATTTGCAAATATCTTCTCCCATTCTGTAGGTTGTCTTTTAGTTTTGTTGACTGTTTCTTTTGCTGTGCAGAAGCTTCTTACCTTGATCAAGTCCCAATAATTCATTTTTGCTTTTGTTTCTTTTGCCTTCATAGATGTATCTTGCAAGAAGTTACTGTGGCTAAGTTCAAAAAGGGTGTTGCCTGTGTTCTCCTCTAGGATTTTGAAGGAATCTTGTCTCACATTTAGATCTTTCATCCATTTTGAGTTTATCTTTGTGTATGGTGTAAGACAATGGTCTAGTTTCATTCTTCTGCACATGGCTGTCTAATTTTCCCAGCACCATTTATTGAAGAGACTGTCTTTTTTCCCAGTGGATAGTCTTTCCTGCTTTGTTGAATATTAGTTGACCATAAAGTTGAGGCTCTACTTCTGGATTCTCTATTCTGTTACATTGATCTATGTGTCTGTTTTTGTGCCAGTACCACACTGTCTTGATGACCACAGCTTTGTAGTACAACCTGAAATCTGGCATTGTGATGCCCCCAGGTATGGTTTTCTGTTTCAATATTCCCCTGGCTATTCGGGGTCTTTTCTGATTCCACACAAGTCTTAAGATGATTTGTTCCAACTCTCTGAAGAAAGTCCTTGGTATTTTGATAGGAATTGCATTAAATGGGTAAATTGCCCTGGGTAGCATTGACATTTTCACAATATTAATTCTGCCAATCCATGAGCATGGAATATTTTTCCATCTCTTTGTGTCTTCTTCAATTTCTTTCAGAAGTGTCTGTAGTTTTTAGGGTATACATCCTTTACCTCTTTGGTTAGGTTTATTCCTAGGTATCTTATGCTTTTGGATGCAATTGTAAATGGGATTGACTCCTTAATTTCTTTCTTCAGTCTCATTGTTAGTGTATAGAAATGCCACTGACTTCTGGGCATTGATTTTGTATCCTGTCACACTGCCGAATTGCTGTATGAGTTCTAGCAATCTTGGGGTGGAATCTTTTGGGTTTTCTATGTACAGTATCATGTCATCTGCAGAGAGGGAGAGTTTGACTTCTTCTTTGCCAATCTGAATGCCTTTTGTTTCTTTTTGTTGCCTGATTTCTGAGGCTAGGACTTCTAGTACTATTTTGAATAGCAGTGGTGAGAGTGGACATCCCTGTCTTGTCCTGATATTAGGGTAAAGGCTCCCAGTGTTTCCCCATTGAGAATGATATTGGCTGTGAGCTTTTCGTAGATGGCTTTTAGGATGCTGAGGAATGTTCCCTCTATGCCTACACTCTGAAGAGTTTTGATCAGGAATGGATGCTGTACTTGGTCAAATGCTTTCTCTTTATCTATTGAGAGGATCATATGATTCTTGGTTTTTCTCTTGCTGACATGATCAATCACACTGATTGCTTTACGAGTATTGAACCAGCCTTGCATCCTGGGGAAAATCCCACTTGGTCATGGTGGATAATCTTCTTAATGTATTGTTGGATCCTATTGGCTAGTATCTTCTTGAGAATTTTTGCATCCATGTTCATCAGAGATATTGGTCTATAATTCTCTTTTTTGGTGGGGTTTTTGTCTGGTTTTGGAATTAAGGTGATGCTGGCCTCAGAACGACTTTGGAAGTACTCCATCTTTTTCTATCTTTCTGAACAGCTTTAGGAATAGGTATGGTTTCTTCTTTAAACATTTGATAGAATTCCCCTGGGACACCATCTGGCCCTGGACTTTTGTGTCTTGGGAGGTTTTTGATGACTGCTTCAATTTCCTTCCTGTTATCGGCCTGTTCTCAGCTATGTTTTGTTCAAATACACTTTCTGGTCCTCTGTCCCTTTCAGTGCCCCCAGGACCCCCAATTAAACGTAGATTTTTCCTTCTGAGGCTGTCATTTATTTCCCTTAACCTATCCTCATGATCTTTTATTTGTTTGTCTCTTTTTTCCTCAGCTTCCTTCCTTGCCATCAACTTGTCTTCTGTCACTCACTCGATCTTCTACCTCATTAACCCTTGTCATTAGGACCTCCAGTTTGGATTGCATCTCATTTAATTGATTTTTAATTCCGGCCTGATTATATCTAATTCTGCAGTCAGTAAGTCTCTTGAATCCTTTATGCTTTTTTCTAGAGCCACCAGTAGCTTTATAATTGTGCTTCTGAATTGGCTTTCTGACATTGAATTGTTTTCCAAATTTTGTAACTCTGTGGGAGACAGGACTGTTTCTGATTCTTTCTTTTGTGGTGAGTTTTTCCTTCTAGTCATTTTGCTCAGCTCAGAGTGGCTGAAAACAAGTTGTACTGGAAAAAGGAGAAAAAGCGAATAAAAAGGAAAAAAAGGTGGGGAACAAACAGAAAACAAAAAACAAGGGGGTATCCTCTGATTCTATATACTGTAAATCCCTCGACTTCCCCTGGAACTTTCCAGCGCTGCTTGGTCAAGAACTTGCTCTTTTCCTGTCCTTCCAGCTGGTCTTCTGGGGAGGAGCCTGCTGTGCGGATTCTCCGGTATGTGCACCTGAGAGAGCTGCCCAGCCCCCTGCCAGGTGCACGGCTCAGTGGGAGCTGTGTATCCTGTGAGGCCCCTCCTCAGTCCGAGGCACAAGGTGACACCAGGAGGAACAAAAACAGTGGCCGCGGCCAGCTCTCCAGCCCTGGAGTCAGCTCCCACAGTAACTACCACAGCTCCCAGTCCTCAGGGGCCTAGATGCTCCGGGGGTGGAGTGCGCCTATCTGTATAGCTCAGGGCCGCCTGGTGGCAGGAGCATCCTCGCTGACCTGTGTCCTCCCGGCGTCCGTCTGTCCCGGGGGGAGCGCCAGATCCTGGGCTGTGCTTGTGCCACTGGAATCGGCCACCCCCCTCCGCCCGGAGCTGCTGCCTGAGTCGACGCCTGAGACAACGCCTGAGCTGCTCCCAGATCGCACAGGCCCCTCCGCCCAGAGCCGTGAGCTGCTCCCTGGCCGCTCAGCCCCCTCCGTGCAGAGCTGCTGCCCCAGCAGACTCTTGGGCTCCTCCGGGGGCCCTGCTAGGTGCGGGCTCCAGCCTTTTCCAGTGCCCACAGTGTGGCGCGCTGTGCCCCGGGGTGCAGGTCCTCTTGTTAGTGCCTCTGGGAGCCTGAGGGCATCCCTGCCCCTCCTGGGGTCCTGCCCGAGCTCCCTGTGGTTGCCTTACCGTCCTGGAAGGTTGGTAAAGCTCCTGCTTCTCTGGGCCTGGGCTCTCCTGTCCTGGGGACACTCGCCGCATGGCCTTAGCCTGGCTCC